AAAGGATGAAAGAAAGAAAGAAAGAGAGAAAGAGAGAAAGAGAGAAAGAGAGAAAGAGAGAGAGAAAGAGAGAGAGAAAGAGAGAGAAAGAGAAAGAGAGAGAAAGAGAGAGAGAGGGAAAGAAAGAAAAAGAAAGAAAAGAAGAGAGAGAGAGAGAGAGAAAGAAAGAGAGAGAGAAAGAGAGAGAGAAAGAAAGAGAAATAAAGAGAGAAAGAGAGAAAGAGAGAGAGAGAGAGAGAGAGAGAAAGAGAGAAATAAAGAGAGAAAGAGAGAGAGAGAGAAAGAAAAAGAGAGAAATAAAGAGAGAAAGAGAGAAAGAGAGAGAGAGAGAGAGAGAGAGAGAGAAAGAAAGAAAGAAAGAAAGAAAGAAAGAAAGAAAGAAAGAAAGAAAGAAAGAAAGAAAGAAAGAAAGAAAATGTTCTGTTGAAGTATATTTGTGCCATTTCCTAAAGCTTCCCTGTTGCTATATATTTTGAGTTCTCCGATCTTATCTTCCATTGGTTCATTTTAAGGACCCTCAGTCTAACCAAACTACTCAATTGTTTCATGTGTGAATTTACTAACCAACTTGCTTATTCTTTCATCTGATTAGAAATATTTATCTTTGCTTCCCAGATCTAACCTATTTTTAAAATTTCAGCTTGAATCTGCCACAGAATGGGAGAAATCATCTGCAATACATAACAATAAGCATATACCCCAAAAGTATATAGAATTCCTCAATATTAATAATAAAATGACAGATAGCCCAATTTTTTTAAAAAAAGGGCAAAGACTAGGTCAGGGACTTCAAAGGAAAAAATCTAAATGGCTAATAAACATACAAATAGGTGATTAACTTCAAAAGTAACTAGGGGCTAACAACAAAAACAAAATGGTGTAGAAATACTCATATCAGAATATAAAGATCTCTAGCTTTTATGGAACTTGCTCTGTTCACGGAATATCAAGCACCAAGCAACAGTATCTACGCTTCCTAGGATTTGTGAGGATAAAATGTAATGATGTATGCAAAGGACTTAGCATAGAAACTTGGCATATGGTAAAAACAACTATTATTGAAATAACTGGCATAACAGAAGTATGAATAATGTTTTTTAACATTTAAATTTGTCTAAGAAAATTCGCAGAAGTGGTTTTTGATGTAGGCTCTAGAAAAAGGAATTGGTCTGCTCTAGATTAAATAATCCAAATTTCCACGTTATTAAAAATACATATTTCAAAAATATAAAATCTTAAAAAGGTGAATTATCCTAATTTCACATTCTTATAGATTAATAGTTATTGCCTCATTTTTACTATTTCAACTGTTCAAAATGCATGAGACAAATAGTTGCTTCTATAATTACAAAGGGATTTTTATTTTAAGGTATTTCTATCAGAAACATTAAACTATCAGGCATTTGCTCTTTTTTTTTTCACTTTAATCTGACAATATATGACTAAATTGTTTAATAATAAAAATTCAATGTAAATAAAAAAATAAGTATTGAACACTGTTATTTTCTGTATTTCCCTCCAGATACATTCTCCACCTTTCTCTGACTTGTTCTGCACCTCCGCCTCCCTTCCCTTATCTCTAAGGATTACATTATCCAGTCCTCGCTTGCCCTCTAGAGTTCCGGGCTGGGTTTTACCAATCAGAAGTGTGAAACAGAATACCATACTGGGGTTACCAATCCCACTGGAGGACTCTAAACATTTCTGCCCATTACACACTGGTGTCCAAGTTGCCAAGGGAAACACAACACAGTCAAGGACTGGACAGAACAATGTTCTACTCACATAGAGAAGAGACAGGAGCAAGAACAGCTGCAATTGTGTGCATGGGTCTCTTATAGCTAGTGGGTGCCCCGGGCAGTGGTCAAAAGGAAAAGAGCTCAGGAGCACACTCTAGTGCTGCAGCAGAAAGACCCCACCTCTGGATTCTGAAATACTAAAAGCTGGGGCATGCCTGAGGGCACTGACTATGGCAATACGTCAAGCAGAACAAAGGCCACTCAAGGAGCCTGAAACAGGGAATGATAAGTCTCACAAAGGTGGTAAACCCAGCACAGTTAGAGTGGCTTCTTGAGTGGGCAGAGCAGGGTCAAAAGCCTGTGCACAGGACATTGCCTTTCCCAACAGGAAACATCAGCAGAAAAGCTGATGGGAGGAGTGGGA